ATAAGCAGGGTTATTTCAAATCCTGTTGTTTTTTTAGCCATTGTTCTACAACTGAGTCTAAGACTTAACATCATTTCTGGTTGGGAGAAACCTCAGGAAGTTGCATTGATTCCTTGAAATCCACCAAGAAACACAGTAAGATCACACAACTTAGAGCCTCTCTAGGCAAGAAGAAAAGTATGTGACCAAAGAGCTTGGACTGTGGAGCTGGGATGCCTTTCTTTGAATTTTGACACTGACATTTAATTACTATGTTACCTGGGGTAAACTTCTTAACTTCTCTGCCCATTTCCTCATCTGTAAATGGAAATAAAAATAGCCTCATAAGTACTAATCATACTTAGAGCTAATGTCGTTCTGTACTTCATCACAAAGTAGAGATGAGCTATAAATGAGGCATTTCTCTTTCTTTTCTTTTTGGACTCATTAGGGTCCTTGTGGTGTTGCAGTTCTCAGCACACACCTCCTCCGCCCGCTTTTGTCACTGAAGTGAAGCCCTGAGTCTCTAGAGCCCACTCAGCTAAAGATCAATAGGAAGATGGCCTTTGAAAATTACTGGTGTTGATAGCTTAAAGTTAGACTTACTTCCCAAACACAGTAAGGAATTGACTTGTGTTTGAGAAAGCTGTTCCTCTTACTACCCCCGCCTTCCCCCCTCCCTACCAGGTGGCACACCTCTGGAGTTTACAAATAGTTTGAATTCACTTATTAAAAACAAAATGGGTTAAGCTGTAGGCCAGAATGCACTTTGATTTATAATTTCAGCAGTAATGGGGTTTGGAAAGCTCACATGAAAGGTACAGTGATAACTCTAGTCACAGTTGATTTTGAAAGTCTTCCAGAGAGCTTTATGTGTGGTTATATGCCTTCAAATTGAAAGATTTAAAATTCTAGAGCCAGAGAGTTACACAGCTTGCATTGATTTATAGTAATGCTATAACCATTTTTGATAGATTTTTATCCTTATGGATTTTTTTTTGTCTTTACAAGTACTTCACACTTTTTCACTCAATGGTCTTTCCCCTTCTTAGTTATTCTTTCTCTAAAAGAATGTATGTATGTTCTTTAAAAAAAGAAAAAAAAAACCTTTACCACTGCTGAAGTGATCAGTTTTATCACTTTATAAAGGTGGTTTATTTTTCTGACCTATATGTGGGAGATTGGTCCATAGCACAAATTGAAGAGCAATTTTAATTTCCCATCAACTTGCTTCTACTATCTTTACTCATTATTAATTTTAACTTTGAGATAAATCAATAAGTGTATAGAAGATATACCAGTAATTCTTAGAAATATAATATTTGAAAATTATTTCAAAGTTTAAAATTAGTTTATTTGGAAAAATTCTTGAAAATTTAAAAATATCATGAAATAAAACTATCAAGCTTTTGCCTAAAAACTTCTTCAGAATATTAAGCTTAGCACATTTTATTGGTTTAAAATTTTTTAAATTATTAGTTTGAAATATTTCTATCAGTTTAAAAGTTATTTTAAAATCTGTTGCCTCCAAACTTCTTCAGTTCTGACTTCTAAAATTAATTTCTTAAATTCTGGAGTTTCAGTTTATTTATACCTTTTTTTCCGCATGATCACGTCGTAAGTTTATTTAGTACCTGATTAGAAACACCACTTTCTGGCCTGTCAGCAGCTCAGCTGAGCAGTCAGGCTGTATTATTCAATATCTTGTCTGACATGAGGACAGCAGTCCAAAGAGAAAGATATCACAAATTGGTGCCACACTTCGATAAATAGAGACATTTTATTTTCACCAAGCTAATTCAATCCAGTTCAGTTAACTCTTTTTTCCCCCCTTAAGGACAGATCAAAAAAGGCAGCCATGAGTGACAGCGGTTCTTATGGGTTTGACGTGTTAGTGTGTACAAAGCTGACCCGAGGGAGGGGCTTTGCCTTTGGATTTCAGACAATGCCCMGTTCAGGGCGGGCCCTCTCCCTGGCCTACTCTGTGCTCAGCTGGGGACCTCAGATCCCTAGCAGGCTCAGGTACAATGGGAAGGGGCTGGGGCTCAGGGCCCCAGATGCTCTTCCCCTCACAGTAGTGCCTTTTAAGTTTAATCATTCTTAAGAATTTTCAGACATTTTTAAGGAGGTCATTGAGTTTCATTTTAKTTCCATAAGTGAAAGCGATTAGATATTACATATTATTAATTTGGTGATTTTGGTAAACTCTTTGTTCTAAATGCCTCTGCCTTAAAATCCTTTATTACAACAAATGTAATGCCTGAGTTTCTATTTCTTAGTTCAGTTATTTCTTCCTGAGGCGCATATTTAAATTTATCATCATAACATTGTTCACTCTAGAGGATGCAGTGGGATGGCTTGTGCCACCAAACACGAGACACTTCAAACAGTGTTTATGAGAGAAAGTTCACATCACCAAGAAATTGCCTCTTGCTCAGTGGCTCAGGTCTGAGAGCCTCCTCTTGGGCCTCAGAGCCCTCCAGGGCACTTTCCCCTGAAACTGCTCTTGCAGTGTCCCACTGTGACACACTGTCTAGCAGCCCTGGGCTGTGCCATATGTCTGCAGTGTCTTTCTTTCTAGCCTGCCAAACCTGTGCTTCATGGACTTTGAAATCCTGCCTGGCTTGATCAACTGCTGTGAGAGTGCATGGCCTTAATGCCGTCTTCCTGCCTCTCGCTTGACCAAGCGCTTTCTCACAGTGAGGTTTATTGTCTGGTCAGTCCGTGTGGCCTCAGTGTCCAGGGCTTCCGCAGTGTAGCCAGYGCCCATAAGATATGTTTACAGAGAATGGAACTAGGGCTGTGGTTACAAGGACAGATTTTAAAGCCAGACAACTCCACCAGTTAAGACAACTCACAAGTTGTCTAACCCAATTTGCTCCCTTATTTTTAAAATGAACGTATGGAAGAAATGATGATACGTACTGTATGACACTCTTAAGGRTCATGGAGATTAACTGAGTTGATTTTGATGAAACGCTTAAAATGTTGTCAGGCCCAGATTAAGTGCCATGTAATGTTTATTTACTAACTTATTGAACATGTTCTACCTACTAGTTACTGTTTTTACATATTAAATCATTTAATCTTCACAGTAGTCTCGTGTGGTAGGTTCTTTTGCCATTCCCATTTTACTGAAGAAGGAACTCAGACAATTAAACTTAAATAATTTTGCATAAAGTCACATGGCAAGTACAGGGCAGAACCAGGATTTAAATTCACACCACTTGGCTTTGGGGGCCCCCCAACCATTTCTTTGCTCATGAGCACCTTGGTACACTGTCAGACCCGAGTGTAAATCACCTTGTCCTTGAGAGTATCACAGTCAGATGGAGAAGGACAGAACAGAATTGTGTTTCTTGACCCTTCAGAAAATGTGGAGAGAGAATGGGGCAAGGAGGAATTAGCCCCCCTGGACTCTTCTGCTGACTAGCTGGGATTCAGGAGAGGGTGGAAGTCACAGGTGTCAGCAGCTGCTCCCTTGGCCCTCTAGGCCTAGGTGGACTTTTGAGGTTGTCTTTGGGGATTTTTCTTTTCAGTGACTCTTTTGTCAGGCGTTTGAGGCTTTGCTGGTACAGCAACACCAGTCCAGGACCATGCAGAACACCAAAAAACATGGTAAGCTATAGGGAACGAGAAAATGTGGCAGCCATCTAAGCCTGGAAATGAATGCACTCTGGATATTTAAATCACGGGTCTACTGAGTCATCCTGGGTTGCTGAAATACCACATTTATCCCAGGAGCTCTACCTAGTAAAGGTCAGCAACTAGTTCTTGGAAGCAGGCGCCACAGATCTTAGCCATAACAAATGAAATCTTGGCTATGGGGAAAATTCTCTTGATGTGTTGTGCACTCATGTATGCCTTGCAGATTTTGCAGTATGGGATATGTATCTGTTGTTAAAAATTATTTTCCAGACAGGAATCCATGTCTGTGATTTCTGTCACACAATCAGAAGTTCTAAAGTAAATTTCTTACATCTTCAGAGGATTCCAGTTATTTTGCTGATAATATACAGATAATGGAAAAATACGTATCTTAACCGTTGTCTTTTTTTTTAATATGTGTGGAATGCAAAGGCTTCTAGTTCAGTAATGCTTTGTAGCGGATTCTAAGGCTAATACTCTTAAGTGCTGTGCAAAAATTCAATGTGTAGAGTACTGATGAAATATTTACTCATCAGATGGCTTTGAAGTTGAGCTTCTTTGGGGTTGTAGTCCCCTTCCTAATGGACATGTTTCAAAGATGAAAATGGTTACAGCATTCAGCTATGATGTTTTCTTATTMTCTGTATGGAAGAAATCTGTTTTGTTTTTAGGTCCATTTCAGTTTTAAGTTTTGAAAGCTAGCTGCTTCGAAATCATATTAATGATAGAAATGATTCCTATACTCAGAACTCATTCTTATTGATAGGGTAATGTTTTGAAAGTTAAATTTTCTAGTATTTTATACAAAGAGTGCTTAATGCTTTTATTCTGCAATTTTTCTATTCTTAAGTTCAGATAATGCTAAAGTTAAAGGCTAAAGGTAAGTGTGTTTATATACATAAGAAGAGTAATATAAAAGCAARTAAAATAAAATCACTATGCTTAAAGACGTGTGGAAATGACATATTTCAATGTGTGATGTATGGTTCTTCGGTTTTGATAATAACTGAAGAGTTTACCTGCAGAGTGTAAAATCATAGATACTTGAAGAATGTTGAGTAAACACTGTCTTCTGCATCTTGGATTAAACTTGGATTAAACTTCACTAAGGACTTCAGAAGTTTTTATGGCATTATTGGTTAAGAATTTTCTATTTGGGGGGCTGGGGTTGTAACTCAGTGGTAGAATGCTTGCCTAGCATGTGTGAGGCACTGGGTTCGATTCTCAGCCCCACATAATAAAATAAATAAAACAAAAATTGTGTCTACCTACAACTAAAAATACTTACAAAAAAAAAAGTATTTTCTCTTTTTGTTTCCTCCATTAGGACCATGGTACACTTCTAACATTTACATTTGTGTTTTATTACTTAGTTTTCACATGAATCYGACAAGCAATGAAGACCTCAGGAAAATCCCGGTAAGTTGCCGAGGGGTTAGAGAATTACCCGACACAAGCCCATCTCCTCTCTGGCACATGTTCTTAAAAATGCCTCTGTCTCTTTGAATATCTCAGCTGCCCAAGTACTGCAGATCAGGGTGGTAATTTTGGGAGAAAGAGAGAAAGTGAAATTCAGACTTGCCTTTTATATACTAGAGGGTGTGGCTTCTGTATATGATCAATTAAAGTTCCAGTGAACAGTTATAATTAGAGCCAATTTAAAGTGCACAGATTTTGCTTACAGGCTGTTTTGAAATTAATATGAAAGCTGTATGTCAAAGTCAGCATCATAATTATGAAATAAGAGCATGCGGCAAAGACGGATGTTTTTTGTTGTCGGGACAAGGATTGAAGAAAGAATATGCTGTTGGTTAACGTTCAACAATAGGAAAAGCACCCGGACAAGAGACCCAGTTAATCAGGAAGATATTTGAAGAAGCAGCAAATACTTTAGGACACTTATTTTCCTAGTCAGAACAAAACCAAATATATTAGCAGGGTTGGCAGTGATCAGAAGTTGGTTCACGTATTTTGCAGGGATTGTTCAGATATCTGAAGTYCATCCTGCTATTAGCTGAAGTCCAGGGTTGCATCTCACAATTCCATTGCATTTGTGGTCAATTCTATATCTGTTAAACCTAGAGAACACGTTATTTTACAAAAATATGGGCAAATGTTCTGGGTAGAAAACTAAATTCTCACTGAATAACAGAAATAGAATTTTTATTTCAAGAGGCTGGTGGTTGCTGTTTCCACCATCTGTCCCTAATATGTGTGATCCAGATGTATAATATGACTTTTTTTAAGCAGTCACATATCATGATTTTTTTAGATGTGATGTGCCTAAAAGAGGTTGAGGTGGGGTTAGAGTTTATTTTATGAGTTATTTTAAGTTCAGTTGTCTGTCTTTAAAGTTGTACAAATATTATAGAAACATGGGACTTCATATTGTTTGTGCTGTTTTATGTAAATGATTTGTAAGTTTTGATGTTTCATAAATACTCAAGTCTTTATAATATGGCAGTCTGGCAAGAATGTCAGACTATATGAAGTCAGCCTTTGATCAGATAGTAAAATGAATTCTATCAGGCGGTTACTTAATCTCAAAATGCAACATCAAAAAATCGATTTAATGTGTAGCTATTGTTTATTAAGTAACTTTAATTACAATTTCTATGTGCTTGTAAATGTACTTTTCCAAATCTTGTAATTTATTGCTGTAAAAGCATCCTTAGAATTCTTTAAAGAAATAAAATGTGAAAATTGTTTTAGTTAAAGGATTTAAAGGTGATAAAAGAATCCTTGATGTGTGATTATTTTTCTCTGGATCCTAACTATTCTGACAGTGAAAGGATTACTAGGTGTTGTTAATTTACCGCAAGATACAATTAAGAGGAGAAAGCTCATCCTCAAACTGATGGTTATTGAGGGAAAGTATTTGAACAATTTTTATGTTGAGGATTATAAGATGTTTGAAATAATTTACATTAAGTTCTCCAGTAATAGCCATCCAGCAAGTTATTTTTTCCCCTTCTGGACATAGTATTTTGTAATTAAGTTTGTATGTCGTCTATGCTGGTGCCAACACCTGTCTGTGAAAGCGCGGTGTTTAAGCAGGAGCAGTAGCCAGTTGAAAGGGCAGTGTGAGCTCTTTAAGGCCTAATTAAGAACTGAAAGGGAGATGAAGGGACTAGGACAAAAGATGTGAAAGTAGCTGAGATGATATTCCCAGAGCAAAGTTCCTCATTAGAACAATAATGAGATGATGAGAGAATGCCAGGCCTTCATCTCCTCCCTCTCCTGTAGTTGCCTTGGATATCAGTTACGCCCCACCAATATTTGGTTACCAGGACAACCTTTCTTTAAATCTCCAGTTATTTTGAGTCCTGATAATTTGCTTTTGTTTAAATTTAAATATTGTAAAAAATGTATATTTCCTGGTTTAAAAGGCTAGATTATGTGTAAAGCAAAAATAGATCACTAGTAATTCTCAGAGTCTCATGCACAACCCTGTTATTTAAAATTCCAATTAAAAAAGCTTCATGTAATAATTTTGTTATTCTCTAACCCAAACCCCATTTTCTTATATTTGTTTATGGACATTTTTTAGCAGTGGTGGAATAAGAATGAGAAAGGATTGATTGTGAAAGGAGAAGAGAAAAGAAAAATGTACATTAAATTTCAAAATAAGAAGACATCTTAAAAACACATGTGCTGGATAGAGCACTCAGGAAAAATACTGAGTACTTGGGAGTCCTGGTGTAGGTGCTGCACTTGGTCTTTGCCAGTTTGGARAGTTCTCAATTTTTGAAGTTTTTCCATGACTAGTAGTAAATGTATCTTGAAAAAAGCAATCTTTATATTTGCCTGAGAGCTTTCCTCTTAATTTTTATTAACAGAAAATATTTTCATTTTCTATTGCTTGTGTTAGCTAATGTTAATCTTTATTATTTTCTTTGGTGTCATATCAATAAACTGAAGGATAAATGTATTCATTGAGTAGATCTGTCAATTTAAGAATCTTATGCCTAAAATTAGAAGTTTTACGTGGTTTCCACATATTGAATAAAATCTGGAACTAAGCCTGAAACTGTTTTTAATTATTTTATATTCTTTTCCAGAATATAGTTTATAGTACATGTGTTTCTAAGATGTTTTCCTGCCCAGAAACTTGATGCTGAAATTTGGGGTAAAATTTTCACATAAAAGGACAAAGGAAAAATTAGCCGAAAAAAAATAGAAATGTATTCCCAAGAAATCTTCCATGTGTTAGTATTAGGTCATTATGGGGGGGGGGAATAAGACAAATAATATTTCTGTATATTCTCAATTATGGCTAAAAGTGTTGAGCAGTGTTCTGAGATAATAGATTATTTTGAGAGATTAAGTTGTTAGACTGATTTATATGATGGCATTAATTTAGACTACTTATGTCAAAATGACGAATTTTTAACATGTCTTTCATCCTGAGCTTCTGATGAAATGTTAAAAAAATTTTTTAGCTACATTAAGAATTACTGATGTAGTACTAAATATAACAGTGCAAATAATTTTTTAGCTGTATATCATCACTTAATTAGTTGGGAGAAGTCAGTTCATGTATGTATAATTTCATTAAGATTAGAGATTCCAGCAGATGCTGCTGTTATGTTAAATTAAGAAAAAAACAAAGCAGTCAACCAATCACTCACATTCCATTTAGTTTAATTTCATTAACCCCTGCAATTCTCACCAAACTCCTTATTTTCAGTAAATGTTTTATTAGAAAATTGAAGTCACATTAGATGGACTTCATTACTTTTTAAAATGCTGTTCAGAAAACTCACTCTGTAGGGCACAGAATTTTAGAGTTGAAAGGGACTGTGGAGATTCCTTCTTGGTCAGATTAGGAAAGTGACCCCCAGCTTGGTTCTGCCTAAGTGTATGTAGAGTTTCTACTTTGAGTAGAAACAGTAGCGAGTATTTAACAAACTTCCAAATCTACTCATCTTTATGGTGTTCATTATTTATTTCTGTAGATAGCTGTTTAATATGATAAATTCTCTTTAAGAATGTAATTAAAAAATGTATAATAAGATGTATAACTCTACACTACTTATGACCAGTTAAATAAACTAGGAACTGTGTGGACTTATTTGATCTGAGAGAGAAAAGGGTAAAAATTCAGACGACACTTAACTCTTCCTTCAGTAGTTTTAGATCACTATTTGAAATATTTTTAGGGACAAAGATAAATATTAACTAATATACTTGCATCTTTTCCCAGTTTCTAATGCCAAAATAAAATAACTTGTTTTAAATATAGTTTATAGAGTTTAAACTCCCTTTTCTTTGATACCCTCTCTGTTCCTTCTTGTTAAATCTTGTCAGTAGCCCTGGATTTACTTTCAGCTTCTCCAAACAATCTCACCCACTRTTGCCATTTTAATGTTCCTAGAACATAGCTTTTGACCACATAATTTCTCTGTTTAGAAATCTTGGTTTCTTATTTCCCTTAGCAAAGAAAATCGTTAATCATAGTTTTCAAGATGTTTGGTATAGTTGGGACCTACCATTTCAGCCTCCCTGCTCCCTATTCTGTATCTTATTTTCTAGCCCAGCTCCACTGATGGCCTCTTGTTGGCCACTGGCTTGGAACCTCATTCCCTAATGACCAAGCAGACCCCACTGCTGGAAATGCCCAGCATGCATTTCTGCATGCAGAGTTGCTGAAGTGCTTTTCTTGATTACTGTGAAATATTTTTTTTKKYGGGGGGGTGGGTTGCCATATATTAATATAGGAATTCTTTTTCTTAAAAATCAATTAAATCAGTATCCCTTTCTTTATTGTTTGGTTATACTTCTTTTGTTTGAAAATAATTTTTTATCAATAGAATAAGCTTATAAGCAATGAAATAGTAAAGAATACAGATACAGTAACCCTAAGTGTTAATATAGTTGTAACTGAAATAAGGTAAAGCAAAAAGGGAAATAAGGTAAATCAGATAGGTGTTGTGTGTAGAAAAGGAAACAAACCAGTAACTTAGGGGAGAAGAGGCCCAGCCAGCCTCTAAATTAAAACAAGTTATTCCCTTGCAGCTTTGCATAAGGATGCTCATTGATTTAATTCCAAGTGCTTCAACATGTCACAGCAAATTGGTGAAGCAGATTTGATATTACTGCTTCTTGTAGGCATCTTCAAACAAAAAGCCAAGGTGTAACATTAAACCACAGTTCAGTGGAAGCAATTCCATGAGGACTGATATCCAAGTGGTAGCTCTCAGTGGCTTCTTACGGTTCCTCTGAGTTAATATCTTGGATAGCTTTTGTTTTACCCTATTTTAGTTACAGCTACTAACTTAAATTCTAAATTACAGAATATTTCATCCTTTAATTTAGTCTTAAATTATATGGTCAGTCTCTTATATTAGGAAATTGTTCACAGTGTGAAAAAAGGGGTTTAGAACATAGAGTTATAATGCAGGCTTTGGTACATCTATCTTAGTTCCTGCCTCAGAACTGGCTGGCCAGTCTGCAAACAGGCACRGTAGTTGTAGATGAGGATGGAAGAAACCTTCATCAGGGTTTGAAGAACCATAACTTGAAGTTCTAAATAATTCATAGGGTCTGTCCCTGAYACTCTGCCTGCTAATGTGACAGTCTGTATTCTGTTCCAGGACAGCAATCCTTTTGATGCCACTGCAGGGTACCGCAGTCTGACCTACGAAGAGGTACTACAGGAGCTGGTGAAACACAAAGAACTCCTTCGGAGGAAAGACACCCACATCCGGGAACTTGAGGACTACATCGACAACCTCTTGGTCAGGGTAATGGAGGAAACGCCCAGTATTCTCAGAGTGCCATACGAACCATCCAGGAAAGCTGGCAAGTTTGCCAATAGTTCATAAAGCCAAGTCTACTGCATTTATAATTGGAAAGAGAGAGGGGAAGAAGAAATAAAGAAAAAAACTGTTACTTGAAGAGGCCCCTCTGCCAGGTTTCATAGCCTACTCTCCTCCTCTAAGAAAAAAGGCCGTACCTATTACTAGCAGGGACTATCAAGAGGGACCTTTGAAGTGAGCAAAATACTTTCAACTTTTGAGTGAAAATGGGCCAGATTCTCAATGAATAAGCAGTTCTGTAGGATTCACCTGGGTGCTGGTGCTGGCCCACTTATCTGCCATAGGCCAAGAAATATCTTCATAAGCCCACGAGTTACTTCTCAGGAATAGATTTTTTTGCATTAAGCAGATGGAGACTGGTTGAATTCTCAGAAGTCAATTTGCAGATTTAGTTAGCTTCATGAATATAGCTCATTATAACACTACAAAAATCAGTTTAAATTTTATATACATACATGAATACATTTTCATGTATCTTTATATATAAAATACATGCATATACCTCATATATACATGTGTTTTTAGTACATTGAAAAGCAACTGGTTGCCTCTAAGGTACGGATACCAATTTCTGAGTTTGGAAATGGTACGTTCGCWGTATTGATGCAAGACAAATCGTCATTACTACCACTGCGGTCCCTCTAGAGAAGCTGCTTCAAATTGCTCTTGACTATGAGCCTTGGCTTCAGAGTGAGCTGCTGTTTATGATCCCAGCATCACACTTTTGCTCTTTTTCCAAAAATTGTGATCCAAGGTCCCTTTTCAAAGAATGACAAATTTTAGGACACGTCATTAACTTCACAGCAGCATGAATTTCTTTGCTTTTTTACCTAACATGAGTTTTGTTTAAGGTTTAAGCAGAAGATAAGCTAATGCAATTTGTTTTGTTGAAATTCTGCATGCCTTTAAATCATTATCAAAGAAAATATTACAAAGTTACATCTGAAAATAATGGGGGAAAATGTAGGTGCTCATCTGTGTCTGATAACCCAAAGCAATGGGCAGTTTCTAGGATTGAAAAATTAGGCTTGGTTTCAAGTTTCATCAATAACAGAACAGATGGTTGTCTTTGGGTCTTGAACCAAAAATAAGACTTATTTAGAGAGGAGTGARTTTTTAGAGCAGATTTTTACTAGCATGAAGTTACATAGTACTCTATATATCTACTCTCCAGTGATTGGTTTATCACAAAATTAGGGGTTCTTTTTTTTTTTTAAAGTCCACTCCCTCAAAATGTTGATTCCTTCCATGGATTGGCTCTATTTATTTGTACAAAATTATTCTGAAATTTAAGTGGGAAAAAACAGTGATCTAAGAATGTTGCTAATCTTCTGTTTAATTTTTCAGCTTTAAAAATCTAAAATACTATGAAAGTTTAGCTGTGTCATTCTGAATTTAAAATGTAAAGTTAATTTCCATATGGAGACTGATATATGAATGAATGAATTGCATTTTTTAATACTTATCTCTATTAAGACCTCATTGAAAGTTAGAGAAAAGCAGACATAATAGTTTTATTTATCATAATATTTTGAATCAGAGAATACTTGGCCAAGCTTATATTCAAAAGCTAAAACCCCTTGTTGTCTGTATTTTCTGAGTTTCTTTAATTTTCCTATAAGAACATGCATTTTGGAATTGTGAAAATTTTTCCCAATACAAAAAAAAATTAAATACTTTTCTAAAATTAAGAAATTAAGAAATATAGCTTTCATCAATTTTCCCCTCTACTCATTATTAAAGCTCTATATTAAACCTCATAATCTAGAGTGGGATTTTATTTTCTCATTTGAGGTCTTGCTAATTATTATCTTTTAGCATGGTGCCATTTTAAAGTAACATTTATTAAATGTTACAAAACATTGCTCTTAGCAGGTTTTTCTGATAGTATTGTTGGGACTCTTTTAAGTTTAAAAAAAAACTTAAAAATCCACGTGTTTTCAAAATTATGACAGATATCCATAGATTACTATGGTTTGCTATAGTCAAATTTGTTTTTTCTAGAATGAACTGAGATGTYTGTTTTGTATTGGGGGTATGTTTTCCATAAGTAAAACATTTAAAAGTATGGTTCAAGAAGTACTGTTATTTTTATGAGGAAATTATTTTTCAGGAGCAGTTCTTTCCCTCTATAAAAATTGTTAAGAGTAGACTTGTTGTCCATAAGTGATTGGCTGTAACTAGATCATTATTTTTATCTTTAAAATCTAACATGTGTTGTATTTAAAACTAAATCTACATTTACTACTGCCTGAAAATGTTCTGTTGCAATGTTTATGAATTTTCACTCATGACCAGAGTAAACTTACCATGTATTTTCATAATCAGTCAATATAACAAACTAAAAACAAAAAGTAAAACCAGTTCCCAAGTAAACATGACAGTGTTTCCTGTGCTTGAGCAGAAGTGTAAACAGTGTCGTTTTAATTTCTGGCATTCTAAGAAGAAAGGCCAAAAAGATCACTTTAATTTATTTTTCCAAAGTGTAACTCTAAGCATTCTAATGATATATTTTGTTAGTAGCTTAGAAATGGAAATTAAATACATGTTCACATTAAATAATGCACAGTACAATAGACTTATAAGCAGATCTTACCTCTGCTTTTATGCCTAAAAGTGCATGCTCGCTCAAAAACGCTTCCACCAACAAGAGGATTTTTTAATATTACAGAATTGATGTTATCTGGTCTATCTTATACTAACATACTTTTGTTATATAATTAAACTTTTCTGCTCTTATTTTAAAACCAGTATTGTTTTACCACCATTTTACCTCCCAATTCTAAAAATCAGTTTTGAAAAWATTGACCAAAACTTTCTACCACTTTAGGCGTCAAGTTTCACTTACTGAGTACCAGGGTTATTACTTAGAATTGTATATAAATCATTGTGTAACTCATTTATGAGCAGTGTTTAAGTATTGCTTTTTGCTGCTATCTTCTGTATTGCGCCTAGCTTCGCCTCCTCCCATGAGGGTAGTGTTATCCATAGATTATATATAACTACATCTCTTGCTTTTGGCAGTAAATCAAGATTTAGTTGTAATTTTCCAGCTGTGAAAATGTTGCCTTGTATTTAAAAGGGTTTCATGAATGGAAACCTAAGTGAAACTAAGCTCATTAGTGACAGACTTGCTTTCTTCACATCCTTCCTTCACCAACTCCCTTACCCCAGTTCCCCCTACCTACCACCCTTACTTATAAGGGTGCTTATTCTTTAACAAGGAAAATCTTAAACAAAGAAAAACCAGACCTTGCTGTCTTTAATGTATCTACAGTAATTGTCACACTAGAGCTTTTATTTTCCTCTGTAGATTTTTAGAAAGCTTTCTACCTTGGATTTGTAAAGGAAGCTGAAAATTTTTTGATGTTCATGGACTCATGTCTTTTAGATCTGGTAGGTGTCACCTGTGTGGGTGAGTGCAGCAGAAACCATGCCCATTCACCTCAGCTCTTGAAGGAGGACGGGAAGGATCACACTGCTGGCTCATGGAGGGAGGTGAGGGTCTGCCAGCACATGTTGAGAGCCCCGGTTTTCACAGATTGAGGACTTGAATAATCCAGATGCAGTTGTTGAAAGTATTTAATATGCAATAGGTAGCACCTTAACTAATCAATCTGCATATGAAGGAGTTTCTGATGTATTTAATAAGAAGGGTAGAAGCTTTTCAAGAATTAAACTAGAGTTGACATTTTATTTTATTTATTTTCTGTTAAATAATCCACTGTTACAATGGAATTGATGCATTTGGGCCTATTAATCTCTGAAGCTTCCAGATGGTTTGTATTTTGAGGTACAAAAATATGCTGMAGATTTAGAAATGTATTTGGATGATATAAGCATTATTTATAACTGAAGAGTATTACACCTACCTTCTTAAGTAAATGCTCTAGTAACTTGTGTACATTTTTGCAGGTACAAACTCAGAAGTATGTAAATTGTATTATGCGGCAATTGTATAATTTATGTAATCTGATGCATGAATCAGAATTTTTATATAATATATGATTGTTGATTTATTGTAGGTGATTAAAGTGTTTAAATGTAATTCATTTGTCAGAATTTCTTATTGTGGGTAAAACAGTGCTACCATAATACATTTGTACATAAGGTTTGTTGTTATTGTTTTTGTTGTTGTTTTGCAATACTGGGGATTGGATCCAGGGATGTTCTATCACCGAGCTACATTTCCAGCCCTTTTAATTTATTTTTTATTTTGAGACAGGGTGTCACTAAGTGGCTGAGGCAGGCCTCAAACTCATAATCCCCCTGCCTCAACCTCACGAGTAGYTGGGATTACAGTTGTGCAGCGCCACACCCAGCCTTCCTTGTCAGTTAATAAACACTTAGGATACTCCTTGTTTGGTGTATTGTTGCAAGTATTCTTTCAGACCTGTAGAATTACTTCACTATGAAAATGACCCTGAAAAGTCACGCAGAAGAGTACTTTCTAAGTATGTTGGGATGAACATTCTTCAATAGATGTGAATACTCTCTACATATACGACATGCCTCATAGGGATGGTGCTCACAATTTGGTAGAAAATGATGTTTGAGTATTTATAGGTGGGCTCAGGCCTATGCCAAGTGCTTTCTGTTTCTGTGTTTTCGTTTTTTTCCCTCAAGCGACCCTGTTAGTTAAGTCACATACAAAGATTTGGAGGAAAGTTAAATGAAAAAAAACAAAACAAAAAAACTATGGTACTCAAGAAAGAGTAGAGTGGGGTTGGCACACCCTATGGTTTCTCACCACTTATTCTCCAGAGTTCAACAGGTGATCACACGTCCAGTTCCCTTAAAATACTAATCCAAGTGCCCACCTGTCCATCTGAGATGCCATCAGAGGGCATCATGGGTCTAATGTGTGAATGTGTATCCAAGTGTAGTGTAGACGGAAGTGTGTGAGTAAACTGTATTGTCCTAGAGGATGAGGTGTATCCGTGGTCATTTCAGATCTAAGTCATATACATTTGAAACAAGGGATATCTCCACAGGTCAGAATGCCTTCCTGCTCTCTTAATTGCTCTCAACTTCCATAACCTGTAGTGAATCTCCTCTACATTGTTCCTCTTTCTATCCACCCCCTAGTGTATGCATTTCTTTCTCCATCTGCTGAGACAAAGATATTTGGAGCAACCTGGGAATAGAATGCTATTATTCTCTTAAAGGTAGCTATTTTTCATCTAGGTTTTATTTTAATGCCTGCCTCAGAAATGTTTATTTTTGAGTGGGCTTGTCATCTAAATGCCCAACATTTTACATTTCTCCTTAAATAACTATACACAACAACATAACTTCATGATTATATGGTTATCCAGTAAGTATTTATAAAGCGAGATTCTTATATACCTATAATTACATCAACTAAAAGTGCTTTATTTTTTCCTTAAACTACTTGCACTCTGAAACTCGATTCTGAAATGTTCAATGTTTTCATCATTAGTTGCCCGTACTAACTAAGAAGTTAAGATTTGTGCTGGGAGGAAGACATCAAGTTCCTTTGTCAGGAGGTTTCAATTCTGATGTGTTGTGGTGAACCGTGAAGTCTGGTTTATTATTGATGTGAGTACTGAAGTTTGTAATTTTTTTTTTAAATAAATTAGAACAGTACTGTTACTTACCATTAACTCGCCTTCTGTTATACTCTGGTGAGTGACAGCAAAGTGGAATAAGAGACAGCAGGTCATAGCAAACATGAGCACTTGTGCTGCCACCCTTGGTATGAGGRTYACAGACTCCAACAGGAGAGCCAGGTTGGGGAACTGAGAGAGGGCAGCTCAGGTGTAAAGAACAGGGACCACAGGACAGTGGCAATCCAGAGCTAGTTGTACCCACTCACAGGGAGCAACAGCTGTTCAGCTCCTGCTCGTGTTGCCATTTGGAAATGAAAGCAAGGCCAGGGTTGCTTAACCTGATCTTCTTAGAGAAACTGAAAACAGTACAGTTTTTTTGCGTGAAATATGACTACAAATGTTGGCAGAAAATTCATTTAAAAACAAAACAAAATCTTAGAGCTACTAGTTTGCAGTCTCTTCCTTAGTATTGCTGATGTACCATTGGGCATCATCTTCATGATCATTGTCACTATCCTGAGGGTAAGAACAATTCAGAGGTCAGTATTGTGTACTTCTGCCAGAAATGATCTTGTGTCTGATTCCAAGCTGGGCTGGTGGAGGGGTATGTGTGGCATATGCGATATGGAGTATCACATATGTAATAGTGGGGTGGGGGCTGCATGTGAAGAGAGGGAATGGAGAGTGAGTATCCTCTGGGTATAGAATTTCAGCTATACA